GGAAGTTTTAGGCCGGCGGGCCGGGTCGGGTGATACGCGCCAATCGTTCGCCATCTGGGGCGCGCGCGGCCATCTCGGGATCCCGCCGGCGACTCGTAGCTCGGGCACGCGCCTGTCGCAGCCCGCAGGAAGGAGGGGTTCGGCCGGAGGCCTGGGGCGGCGGCCGCCATGGAGATCCCCTCGGCCCAGGCCTGGCGCCTGGGGCCTTGGGGGCGGTCCTGACCGCCCTCCTCCCTGTCCGGGCTGGGTCGCGGACGTGCCCCTCACGGCACTCGGCCACCTCTGCGTCTCCGCCCTCCCCAGGCCGCGCTGCTGCCTGGGCGCGGCGGCGGCGGCGGCGCCCTGTTGAATGGGCTGTGAGGGCCCAGGTTTGAAGCTCTGGCGAACGCGGCCTCCGGGGGCGCAAGGCAGCAGCAGCGGTGGCGACCAAACGGGTGTTGGAGTTGGCGGCGGCCATGGAGGGCCTGGCTGGCTATGTATACAAGGCGGCCAGCGAGGGCAAGGTGCTGACTCTGGCCGCCTTGCTACTCAACCGGTCTGAAAGCGATATCCGGTATCTGCTTGGCTATGTCAGCCAGCAGGGAGGGCAGCGCTCCACGCCCCTCATCATCGCAGCCCGCAATGGGCACGCCAAGGTGGTGCGCTTGCTGTTAGAACATTACCGGGTGCAGACTCAGCAGACTGGCACCGTCCGCTTCGACGGGTAGGTACACCCCAACTCCAGCCTTCTCTCCGGCGCGCGTGTTACCCACCACTTCACGGGTTCTCCCTCCCCTTGCTCACCCCCTCTTGATGTGGGTACTCATTTCCCCTTTTTATACCTCCTCTTGCTCCCACTAATGCCCCCCCCCTTCATCTTCCAGGGCTAATACTCCATCCCATGTTTTGCTGCCCAATCTCTTCGAACCCTTCCCCCTTTTCCCTCTGTGGATAGATAGCCACATTCTCTGTCCAGATGTCTGATAGATACTCTTTTTCTCACTAGATAGTCTGTGAACAAGCAGTATGGAGGAGGTGTCTTCTTTTCCACGTTTTACCTTTATCAGTACTGGGGTTGTAACCGAGACCAGCAGTTAACATTGAAGACCTCTGATGAATTGTTTGGCTACCCAGTTCCCCCTCCCCCCTTCAAGTGAGTGGTTCCTTAAAGCCCTCCCCGGGTTGCTGGCCTGAGTGTGAAAATAAGCCCCTAGAACCAGCAGCAGCTCCAGCCGCGTGAGGAATTGTCAGGCCGCCAGACATCCCAGGACATGATTGTGACTCTTCCGTATTGCTCAGGGTAGATAGATGTTGGGTGCAAAAATGGCACTGGACCTGATGTGGGAGATGATGCCATTGCTAAATTACATGTCACCCTGTGATATTGTGGGGAAGCTGTTATTGGAGGTGTGGAGTTCAAAAATTCATATTGCCGCAGTTGAAATCTGCCCCTGGAATTTACTTGTACATCATTTTTGGGTATGATAATGTTGAACACAAAATTGTCAGGTTTTACATTATCCTCTTTTCCGTGCTGGAGAATTATAAAGTGTTTTACACATTACAGCTTCATAAAGATTTTGCTTGACTGGCCGCATTTATTTTTGTTGACCTGTGCCAGTCTGTAAGGTATTCTAACAGTTTCTTTTGAAGTAGAT